TCGAAGATATGTGAACCATCATTATCTGTGAAAAAAATTATTATAATTTTTTTTCTTTTCTTTTCTTTTCTTTTTCTTTTTTTCTTTTTTTTCTTTTTTTTTTTTTTTATTTATTCTTTAAGACAATATTTTTATACCTTCTGCATTTAAAGTTTATCCTGCACTTAACAGAATTACTCAACATATCGCGTTTAAGAAAGGAGAGTTAAAATTATCTTACATCCTTTTGCATGCACAGTGAATTGATTCAGAATCATAATTCACGTTTTTTCACTTTCAAGTGGCATCCTAAGTCGTCGTATTTCCATCTGGGGAATCTGTCAATAAACAGCATTCGCTGGGAACTAAGAGGAGCTCATTTAATCCAAATGAAGAAACTGAGTTTATATACATCCTCCGTTACTTTTATATCAACAAGCCATCCTAATTCTTTCAAATCCTCGAAATTTCACATATTCCCAACTATCTTTTCCATATAAAAAAAGAATGGTTCTTAGGATGTATAACACTAGACTGTTGACATAGCGGCACTATGATTTTTGAATATGAACGGTGTAACAACAGCTGGTGAACGACACCATCATTGCTTCATGTAAATAGATCCCATTGTCGTTGTAGGAGGAAGAGCGGAAGAAGCGAGAGGAGCTTGAGAGGATCTTGGAGGAGAACAACAGAAAGATAGAAGAAGCTCAGAAGAAACTGGTATGTCTTTCAGGAATTAAATCCTGGACAATCTGCATGATTAACAAATGTTTATTTCGATAAGGCTGAGGAAAGATTGGCTATGGTCGAACAACAACGTTTGATGGAAGAAGAAAGGCAAAGAATGAGAAAAGAACATGAAAAACGTGTTAAAGAGGAACAAAAGAAAATCCTCGGGAAGAACAACTCGAGGCCTAAATTGTCCTTTACACTAAAGCCAGTTACGTGAGTCTGTATCATTTCGTGCAGTTTTATATGTGATATTTATACATCTTGTCGGATTTGGAATCATTCATATTCCGCAAGAACATTCAACATATGCTGCGCGTACATGAGTACATAAAAGATGCAGCAATAAGATCCAAAGCTCATTCAGAATGTATTTGCGATAATCATCGAAATCTGGCAATGTTGAATTTTTTTATTTGATTATGATGATCATATGTACATCAGAATTAAATAATTAATTCTATACTTGACAGATTTCGAAACCCAATACAGGTGGGATTTTACCTGTTCGAGACTACACTGATGTCAATACAGAGAAACATATGTTTTGTGCAGGAATGTAATAGAGCAAGTATTTGTATTTATCTGTTATGTTATACTTTTTTTTATATTGTAATAATAAAAAAATATTCTGTACAAATTTGGTTGATCTGTTTGACAGAAGTGTGGTCTAGCCTAGTTTGGTGTGTTCTACAAATTGCAAATGCAGTTTATATAATGCTGTTTCTCTGTAACTATATTATACAAAAAATACTTTTATTTCAGTTAGATATATTAATGAAAAATGAATCGTAATTTAATGCATTCGCATTTTCAAGCTCGATGACCCAAATAGATTTTGTAATTAAACACAAGTGTATACATGAATTTTCTACGAGAATAGAACTATTGTGCATCTGTAATACATAATATAAAAATCAATTTCGAAAAAATAGTAACAGGAGAGCTAATTTTTTTAGTACGTTAAATCGAGATCTTAATGAATTGTGCATACGTCTAGAATTTAATACAGAGTTCATTCTGTCGATGAAGAAAAAAAAAATAGAGTAAAAATGTTCTTTTCTAATCAAAATTAAAATAAGAATACTGATTAAAAAAAAAAATAATACATTGACTGGATCATAAATTTGTACACAAGTATGAATGCAACCATGAACATATATTTCTTGTACGCATTCGTGTATAAATGTATTGATATAACAAAAAAATCATTCGTTCATAAAGGATTGTATACCTAAAACATTGTTACTTATGAAATAAATACGTTTTTATTAAATCTCTTTATTTTATATTTCATATTTTATAATCGATTTCGAACCGAATTTTTGGAAAATACAGCTTTACCACGAATTCCAAGACTTACTCCTTTTCCTAAAACATTTCTGTAAAACGGATTGCGTTGTTTGTAAATGCATTCGAATTTACCACGAGCAGCTTTCTTATTTTTACGACGATCTAAAACCACTTTTAAAAAATAATCATAATTGTTTTTTAAAATAAATTTTCTCTATATTTTTAAGAAAATTTGAAAAAAATTTTGATTGGCTACCTTTCATGGTATCTTCTATTATTTCTGGATAAAGTTTTTCAGTAACACTGCTACTTGGAGGATGTAATCTTGGATTTGTATTGATTTCAATTAACCAGACTGATAGATCATCCATTATTAAGAAATCAGCACCGTATAATTGAAAGCTATTTTTTCGATTGACCATATTTTCTTGAGAAGCCAGAAGTGCCCCAATTAAATTTTGTTTTATACCCGGTTTAATGAGCTTTTCCCACGCTGATTCGCGATCTGTGGCTCTGAGAAGATAAACCATTGAATAATTGCTCGAGATTTATCTTAAAAGTGGTATAAAATACATACTTCAAGTATTCTTTGAAGTTATGAAGATTCCAATGAAGTTCGCTAGGTATTAGTGCACCCTCATTTACTGTTTTTCTGTATTTCAATTGCACAGTTGTATTGCATAAATGAATCGATTCATGGAAATTATTGAGTGTAAAATTTTTCGATGCAAACCGAACCAGAATATCCCTTCAAAACAAATGAATTTTCGATAAAGAAATATTCAAGAAGGAAAAATATTCAAAGGAAGAGAAAAATCGATACTTGTACATCCAGACTGTAAGAGGTTGCGTACTGGTAATTAAAAACCATTGCCTAATATCAACTTTCGTTCTATGTACAAGTAATGGTCGTTCTAAAAATAATAGACAATATTAGTAATTTATTATTAACATCTTTCTGACACTGATATGATTACATTTACCTATGTACTTTTGCACAACATATTGCATACATTCCTTGGAAGCTTGATTTATCTTGGCCAAAATTTCCGATAATGAATTCTTAAGAATTATACCTTTGCCCAAACTTTTATCACCCGGTTTTATAATCCAGATATTCCTCATTCCATCGATTTGAGTCTGGGGACGGCATTGCATCATTCTTTTCATCGTGTTTGATGTGTATCGTAAAAGTTCCTGATAAAAAATACATAATATAATCTACCAATTCAATCTGTTTTTTATATTAATTATATACTTCAATATTTATTTCATTTTTCTTCTGCAATACTGCACGTCTCTGCAAAATTCGTTTGTACCACGATAAAAATTCATTCCAATCAGGAATCGGTATGTCTTTATTATCCTTTCCGTCAATATCCTCGTGTGCACAGACACTGTAATTTATTTAAAATTTATTATTATTTTTTATAGAAAATATTTTAAATTTTTACTTTATTTTTTAAAACCTTATATATTCACTGCATCGTTCAAGAGCGAATAAAATTGCTTTCATAGGAATAGTCCCGTCTTCAGACCAAACGGCATTTGGTCCAACAATGCTGGCATAGAATAAAAACCACTTAAGAATTCCCATGCTAGCCGTGATGTAAAAATCTTGAATGAATTCCTCTATCTGTGCAGGCTGAATACGTGCAAGATATTTTAATTACTATCATGATGCAGAAGAGTTGCATACAAACCTGATAAACATTGTAGCATCGTGGAAATTGTACGTTTGATACGTCAGCTTCATAAAACCAAGAAATATTCTCTAAATTATTGCACATATCGACCTGAAATAATTTTAACGTAAGTTCTAAAATCGAAAAGAGAAAAAGAAAAAAAAAAAGGAAAAAATAATGGAAATTTGGCATAAGCAACTTTTGACGTAAAATAACATCCAGTAAATTTGTTGACTATGGTTCTCTCTTCTGTTCTAATAGATGCTCTCTTATTGGAATACCATATAAAATTTGGAGGACATCTCAACAATTTTTCGACTGTTTCTAAACCAGCTGAAATATAAAAAATATATATATTTTTCCTTTTGTCGAAAAATGGAATGAGTTTCTATGAATAACCTTCGGAAATTTCCGGAGACATAGAGAGCATTTTTCTGATAAATTTTTTTTCTATCCAACCTCTCTGTCCTAGAGGCTTTCTTATCGGTGGAAATATACCATAAATCACGAAAATTTTATGTTCGTTTACAGCTTTTGATAAAATTTTTAAGATAAAATTTATCTTTGCATTTTCACTGTTAAGAAGTCTCATATATTCCCTCAAAATAATCTTTCCGTAAGTATTCTCATTTTCTTTCTCCTCGTCCATAAGTAAATCATCGAGATCATCGCGATTGCAAAGAATCTCGGCATTCGCAGTTTTTATAGGCTTTATATTTGTAACCATTATGGGATCGGAAACTTTTTTTAAAATCAACTTTGATTCTTCCTCAATTTCCTTTGGATCTTTTGGATATATCTTACAAAAAATGTTGCGAAATATTTTTATATATACTATTTTTTAATACTCGTAGAAGATATTCTGTCTTTTTTAACTCAATTCTTTCGTACCTGCCAACCTTGACAGTGTTTTTTAATTGTGCAATCCGCGGAGATTAACATAATTTGCCATTTTCGTGTCACTACAGTTTTTATATTATTCGAGATTTCCAATTTATGCTTTGTATTTTCTGATATTTTATTTTGAATATTTGAAAATCCATGGTTAGAATCTGTAATTAAGATATTATTTCTATTTTCTTGATCATTAGCTTCAAAAAAAATTATACAATTCTTCGTTTGCCGCATTGTACAATCTTTTTATTAACAAAAAATTTTCATTTTTTAACATGTTTTATTCATGTCTCTATTTTCACACTTTAATTTACATTATAAAAATTTTTGATAAAAAATTGAAACCATTGTGACAGTATTGACAATCGATAAATAAATTTCGATATTGTTCTATATTCACGATAAGAAAATATTTTTTAAACTTTTCTGAATTGTTTCTTCCAGTTTTCTTCCCATGAATGCGTACACGATCTATATTTTTTTATAGCTTCATGCATAGATTCGTTCAATAATTTCTCTACTTCCGGCTTCTTGAAAATTGGTTTATTTATTTCGATTTTAATTCCATAATTGTTCATAACTTTCTTTGGTTTCTTAATTTGCGCTTCCTCTCTCGTCAATTTCGTTAAATCGATCTCCGCAATCTTATTCTCAGGCTTGATGTTATATGCTTTCATCTCCAATTGCTTTTTATATGCTTTTTGTTGTGCTTCTTGTAAATTCATTTCACGAATTATATCTTGTACAGATTTTAACAAAAGTTTGTTCTTCATGATTCTATTTTCGATACTTTTTTTCCTCTTGAAAGTAATATCATCTTTTATGATATACATGGAATCGTAGGTTCTCTTAGTACCACGAAGAATACTTTTTTTTTGATCTATAAAATAAACGATACAGATTTTTTATTGTTTTAAAAAAGAAAAGAAAAATTAAATTTTCATAAAATTCTACCTGAATACACATTCCTATTATTATTATTTATCGTAAATTGTTGAAAGAACATTTCATTCTTCATTATTATTTGATTGTTATGTTTCTTAGGGAATCGCGATGTATAGTGTTTCATGTTTGTAGTGTGACACTTTTTATTTTTCAGATCAGTTTTTTCTTTCAAACAATTTTTCTTTTTCAGCCGTACGGCTTTTGTGAAATATTTTTCATTTTCTTTACGTATAGATCGTTTCTTCGTACAAAATTTTGGATTATCCGAGTGAATGTACAACTTTTGATCAAACGTTACTTTTGGTAAAGTGACTACTTTATCATGTGATTTTAAAATTTTATCGTTATCCACATTTAGATTCTCAGAATTCGTTTGAAACGTTTCTACACATGGCGTTTTTCTCGATTCATCAAGCTCACTCTCCGAATCGGTACAAGTATCAGATAAATAAAATGATATAGATTTTTCATTTAACGAAGGTTGAACATTGTTCGTAGGCTGCCAAAAGAGAATAAATTTTAATTAATGAAATGTGAAAATTATTCTTTATAAAATATCATACCAAAGATTTGCGTTTAGATTGTCGGAAAAATGTGCATTCAAAATTATCTTCATCGACACGATTGATATTTTTATCGTCATTCAAAGTGTTCTTCACGGATACAGTATCTCCAGAATTCCAAGATAAGTCGGCGCACTCCATTCCACGTGACAAGTATGGACAGATAGAACATATATCGTTTAATTTGTTTACAATTTAGCATTAAATTTAAAAAAAAATTGGAAAATGATGGCCTCCATTTGTCTGATAGTTTCACTTATAATTTTGCTTTATTTTTTAAGTTGCCATTGATGTTGGTTAATTTATAAGCATATGTCAAAACATGATTTTTCAATTAAATATAATCGATTTGATTTTGTTTCGATATTTTATACAAAGAGTGAAAAAAATCGAAAAATTATAACGGTTGATAGTATAGTTTTTTTTTATTGATCATTTACAAATACAGTTCAAATATAGAACTTAGAAAATAAGAGTGATCGTAAGTAACAAGTGCAGCTTATGCAGATTAACTATCAATTAGTTAATCTTAAACCAACGGCATACATATCCGTAATGTCAGACAAAATTTTATTTTTATTTTGATGTGAACTTTTTTTTGAAACATTATTATTTTTATTTTTTATAACTGGTTGATTAACTTTGTTCGTTGTTGTTAAAACAGGTGGTAACGTCTGTGGTTCCGGAGGAATGACAGACGTAGTATTTTTTTTGTACTTTTTAATGACATCTTGTACGGCAGTTTTAATCTAATAAGAATGAGAAAAAAACTTTTATTATTAAACATAAATATATATGTGAACATATAATATAAATGTATAAATAATCCTGTAAAATTAATTCTACCTTATCATTATTTTGTTTCAAAGGTTTTTCAATTTTTTGGCTCGATTTTGTTTTTTGACTCGAAGTTTGTTTGTGAAAAGCCATAACTTTAGAAACCAACGATTGCTTCACAGGAGATTCCATTTTATTGCTAAGGGTCCCAGCGAAAGTATGAGATTTTTTCGACAAACGTGATATGTGTTTTTGATTTGCAATTTTTTCCTAAGAATTCTTTTCTTAATAATTAAAATAATTTCTCAACTAAATTTCATTATTATAATACGTACTTGTGTCAAGATGGGAAATTTTGCTTTAGTATTAGAAGTCGGTCGAACCACAGGTGCACTTTTCATAGTCGATTCCTGCTTATCAATTAACACAGTTGTTATTAAAGATTTCGGACGTATACTCATAGGTAGTGCTTGTCTTAATTTGGGCGAATCCATTTTATAATAAGCATAAAATTCCTGATCAAGTTGTATTTCTAATTCTTCGATCAAATCAACAATTACTGGACCAATTTGATTATGTGTAATTGATTTTTTCTTTGTCAAACAAGTCTAAAATTATTTGTGTATAAAAACAAATTAATTAAATTAGCATTTAACGAGCTGAATTTAAGAATTGCAAATTGTTTCTAAGTTTCGGATAGCATATCGATGTGCAATATCGATTAAAAAGTTATTTATCAAATTTAGAGAGGAAAAAATTTAAATTTTCTTTGAACCTACCATCGGGGACTTTGAAACAAGACTAACTTTTGAATCTTCATTGTTTGCCGAAATGGATTTCTTTCCAGTGGTTATTCTAGTTCCTTGAAGAGACAACGCTGCACCTAAATACGGTTGACAACTGGACATTCTTTGTTTGTAAGCTAATTCGAATTCTCCCGTACTCGCATTCTTGTCTTCACGGTAATCTATCACCACTATAAAAATTCATAAGGAATAAGAGAAACGCCAAAAGATCTAATTTTGATAGAGATATATTTATCGCTTCTACGATACCTTTTATGGTATCTTCTAAAACTTGCTTGCACAAGCGTGTCGTAACTTTACTCGAGTAACTCATATCAGGATGACTATTGATTTCGATTAACCAGACAGAAAAATCATCCATAACCATAAAGTCTGCGCCATAAAGTTCAAAACTATTTTTTCGACGATCCATGGCCTCTTGACTGGCTAATAGAGAACCGACTAAACCTTGCTTCATTCCAGGATAAATTATATCATCCCACGCTTTGTCGTGTCCCTGAGATCTGTTGGAGTTTTGTTAATAGTAAATTTCGATCTGATCTCGTAATTACGATTCATCATACTTGAGAAATTCTTTGAAGGTCGTAGCATCCCACATATTATCTGAAGGCAACGCAGGATTTCTATCGCCGCAATTTGTATACTTGCATTGAATCGCGTGATTGCACAAATGAATCGACTCGTGGAAGTCCGTCAGACTGAATTTCTGGGAGCAGAATCGTAGATAACTTTCTCTGAAAACAGAAGATATTGCATTGCTACCATTGTGTTGATCGTATGAATTGCATGCCATATATATCACAAGTACAATAATAGGACAAGCATTTACGCAAACTGGGTTAGAGAAGATCAATTTTACAAGGGGTGAACTCATAATAACTGATAATTTACCGGTGGGTAGTTTGTTCGAAAGTAGCGAATTACAATTTTAAATATACAATGAAAAGTAGCTTCTTTCTGGATTGTAAGTTATTTCAATTGATAATTGCGATGGATACGCAACAATTAAACGATAGAAGCACGAGATAACGTGACACGAAAGAGAAATTGTTTCGAGTTAAATATATATGTATTTGTACAACTGTAATGTGCGCCAATTATATCTGAAAAAAATTACCTGTATATCCACAGAGTTAGAGGCTGGGAGCAAGTAATGATAAACCACTGTCTGATATCAAATTTAGTATTATGTATCAATAATGGTCGTTCTATATAAAACAAATAAATATGATTTATTTAAAAATATATTTATAATAAAATATATTAAAGTCTGTATCGATTACCAATATATTTCTGTATGACATAACGAGTATCTGATTTAGTCGATGGATTCATTTTCGCCATAACATCTTCTAGTTTATTTAAGAGAACGATTCCTCGGCCTCGACTTTTATTTCCCGGTTTCATAATCCACACGTTCATTATACCATCCATATCGATTTGTGGCCAATATTTCTTCATCTTCTTTAGAATATGCTTCGACGCCAGGAAGAATTTCTGTTCACACCGTGCTAAATTAATATAGTTCCCATGACGTTACTTGTCAGCAATACAATCGAAATTATATTGCTTACTTGAAATGGAACATTGTTTCGAATGAAGAGAGATTGACCGTGAACGATTTGATAGTACCAGCTGATAAATTGGTCCCATTGATGCGCCCAAATCCTTTCGACTTCTTGATCGATATCTTCGTGCGATTGTGCACTAATGTAATCACTGCCTCGTTTAATCGCGAATTCTAATGCCTTCAAAGGTACAGTGCCAGTTGGTGATCTAACTGCATTTTCACCTTCAATATTTATCTTGTTAACTAACCATTTTAATAAATTTAAACATGCCGTGAATCTATAAGAAATAAAAAAGAAAGATAGAAATCAAAATGTTAAAAAATAATATTTGAAAAAATTTTTATTCAAATAATAATATTATTTCACCGAAAATCTTCTATGAAAGCGTGCATCTGATCCCCTTGACATAAATTATAGCAACGTGGAAAAAGGGTGTTCGCCACTCCAGCTTCGTAATACCAGTGCATTTGTCTGACGTTCGAGCATAAGCCCACCTAAGGCAATCGATTTTCTTACAAGCATATATTATCCTTCTTTAAGGAGTGCCTCACATGACTAAAAGAAATTAACTAAAGTCACTTGAGATACCTTCGAGGTAAATCCTGCTCGATAATATCTGTTAAAAATCGTTGTTTTGTTATCTTGTGCTGGCCAACCAGGCCATTCCGATCCGGTATTCCAGAGAAAATCCACAGTATGATTAGTTAACATTTTGGAAATTAACAGGCGTTCACTTTGTTGATCCTTCAAGTCCCCAATGCCAGCTAGAAGTACTATAGGACTTGCATCCGCGTTATAATGTTGGTCGCCTAAGAAAATTAATTTATACAATACCAAAAATAGAATATAGAATTTGGAAAATGCGCAAAATAATTTGAAAATACCAGCGCTGTTCTTTCTATAGAATTTTTCACACCATCCTCGTTTTAACATGCATTCACGAATCACTCGAGCCCTTCCATAAACCATAAATGTATGGTGTGCAGCTATAGCATCTTTTACCATTTGTTTAATTCTCATAAATCGTTCGTGTAAAGTTGGTGGAATTTCTGAGATTGGATGAATTTTTTCTATATGACACAATCAATGTTAAAGTATATATTAGTGAGTATAAGTTATAAGAAATATATTTTAAAGTACACCTTGAATTTCTGTTACATCACCCATTGGTTTTGTGTTGGGATTAATGGAATCCTCATGTTCTTCATTTTTGTCCGCTTTATTCGTGCTAATCGGCTCCAAATTCGATGCTGCCTCATCGTTCGCTTTCATGTAACGCACTTGCAAATCTGTATGTTTTTCTGCACTTTTTTGCTCTTTAATTTCACTTCATTGCAGTAAGATTTGTTTTAAAAAGGATGAGCCCGAGGACGTCAACGTTACTTTATCCTAGATCAATTTGTAATATTCGATATCAGTTATCGAAACAGTAATGCATATATTTTTTTATGATAATAAAATGTGACATTAACATCTTGTACATTCGAATTAGATTTCTTTCAATACCTGTTGAATCTTCGACATCTCATCAACATTCTTTGATTCAAATTAGTTTTAATTTCTAAATAATTGTTGTTTTAAATCTAAATTATTTAATAAAAGAATAACCTCGATATTGTATGATTAAAGACGACATTCTTTGAATAGATATGAATTTAAGTTACAATAGAGAATCAATGAAACGAAAGCAAAACTCTGACTGAACGTCATCGACGACACGAGATATGTGTTCAGAATCTAGAATTCCGTAAGCGTGCGCTCTGGAAGCGTTTTAAACCACCCCTATTCGGCGGATTGGATAAGATTGCATGATCACGTCATTTTCGTGTTTCGTAAGTTATGTTACAAGATTCGTGAATGTTGATCAATTGTCTGATAAGAATGACCACTCGAGGTTCAAAGGTCATGGATGCATTTAATCATTTTGTTCCAAATTTTATCGCTAAGTCAAGATTACTTAACGTGAAAGTTGTAATCTTAAAAACATTGAATTTATTCGCAGTGAAATTTAAATATTTATATAATATAAACATTTATTTTTTGTATAATATAATTTATCTGAAATTTCTACGTAACAGGTTATGTAATCGAATTTCAAAGTGGATAAAAACGATCAGAAAGAGTAGGAAAGAACTGTTGAAAGAGGAGGAGCGTACCAGGCACCCCTGCAGAACTACATGATCACCAAATGCAGGTAAAGAAGCAAAAGCTATCGCGTGGATTGCCCTAACCATTTCTGTTCTACAAACTCTGACCCACTTATTCAAACGCATCTTGATTCACGTGAAGAGGCGACCTGATGAATCACTTCGACCTGCTATCGCTAATTGTTAGAGTTCAATTTCACGCTGATAATTTGATAAAATATATGCATCATTTAGTATTTTAGAATTCGGACGATGCTTATGCGCTTTTGTTATCGGTTTTCCGATTAGATCACATGTAATAAGAGTAAGACGTCATCAAAGACGTATTGCCTAGAAGATAATGAGTTTCTTGTTGGAATCATGAATTTATATGATAAATGCGAAAATACAAATAAAAAGTCTGCTATTCTTCCATGGTTCATTCCATTTTTTTGTATTATTGATTTAGACATTTATTAATTTCTTACCATTAAATATAGTGCGATATATGTTGTGTTGGGAAATCATAGAATACAGCTGTACGACTGCATTCGTAGAGGAAAGGGTATAGTTATATGTTGGTGCAATTCTTACTGGAATATTGAAAAAGGTACAAAATACAAACTTGAAAAAAAACGAATGATAAGGGATAAACATATAACTGTCAATGATAGAAACTATTTGAAAGTAGTAAAGAATGAAGTTGCCGAGTTTTTTATTTTTAAAACTCATCAATTCAGCAACTCAAAAATTATTAATATTGATAATATTAATGATAATGTATTATAATAATATCGAAAATATAAATAATTAATATATATGTTAGCAGGAAGTGAAAATAATAATAAAAATTTGATAATATTAATATATATAATGATATATAATGGATCGAAGAATAGAGGAATTGTACCAATACTTATCAACCGATATGAAAAATAGTTCTAACCTATACGTTAAAAATAAATTAATTATATATAGGATTAGGATAAATATCTTCCAATTTGTCTTAAAATAAATAAATAATAGATCCAATGATAGATTTTAATATTTTAAATAATAGATAAATGTAAATATCAAGACTTAACTCAAAATAAAGTCATTCCACAAAATACTATTTTAAAGATTTTCTTTTCTAACATTTATCCATGAAGCAGACAATCACACAATTTCTTTTAATTATAGAGGGCGCATTAAAATCTATAATGTTTTGCTCAATCGGTATTTCAGAACATAAGATATAAATTCTTATCGCATCTTATGGTTCGCCCAGTGTTTTATATTTCGTTTATGGTAAAAGACATATATCGCGTTAAATATGACTCAGTTAATAAGAAATTCTGTTCTTTTATTATTCACGGAAGAATGTTTAGATGAATATTTTGACGACTTGAATTTTTTTCACGGTAAGCATCTAAATCTCTAATTGATTAATGATTTCATTGATTAATATTAAAATAAATTTATTTCTATACATAATCCATGCATTGTTATTCTAATGTCATATTACGTGAACATTATGAATATAAAATTTCAAACAGAAAAATTAGTATTTAGAAATAAAAAAAATATAATTAATTATTAAAGTTTTTATTCTATTTACTATAATTTATTTTATTAATTTTTTTAGTTTTTTATTATATATAAATCTAAACTTAAATATAATAGATTCATTATATTTTATTTTTTTATTTGTTACGCTTTTATGTTCTATTTTTTTATCTTTTCAATCTTAAAAATGAAATTTCAATTTTTATATATTATTAAATAACAAATACTTTGTAAAATTATATGAATTAAACGATAAAATAAAATTGAACAATCGAACTTTGAAACTATTTATAACGAGAGCTCGATGATGTTCAATTTTTTTCCAACGATATATTATTTCTTTGTAACGATTAAAATTACTTTTTTACAAAATTTAAAATGAGTTTTTTTCAAAAAAGATATGGACCGCTTCAAGTAAAACTTGAAAATTTTGAACATGTTTCAGTTGGGTGTTTTAAATCGACGCTGAGCAAAGTTTTAGGCCTTGGCATTATCAGTGGATCTCTTCTTGGTTAGAAACTTTATTTTTAAATAACCTTTGTAATTCAATAATTTTTAGACTTTGGACTATTAATTTTTTATGGAATGGAATAATTGTATTATATAAATAATAATAAATAAAAATAACTAGAAATATGATATTAGGTTATTTATATTAGTTTTTTTTTTTATTTTAGTTAAAATACCACAAATTGTAAAAATTCTAAGAAACAAAAGTGCAGAAGGTATTAATGTTTTCAGTGTATTATTGGATTTATTTGCCATCACTGCAATGGTATCTTACAGTTTTATAAGTGGTTTTCCATTTAGGTAATATAGTTTAGAATATAAATAATATTTGTTTTATGTATTATAATTAATGAATGAATAAATATGTTTCAGTTCATGGGGTGATGGAGTTTTCTTAGGGTTACAAACATTAGCAATTGCTGTTTTAGTTATACATTTCAATGGTAATACAACACAAGCAACTGCATTCCTTATCTGTTATTTAGCAATATTACTTGCTATTATTAGTGAATTGACTCCAGTTAATCTTCTTTGGACTTGTCAAGCGTTAAATATACCTATTGTATTAATTAGTAAGGTATGATATTTAAAAATATATATTATATATATAAATTTATTAAAGATTTAAAATTTCACGTGGGTTTTCAGTTAATCCAAGCTTATACAAATTATACTAATGGAAATACAGGTCAATTATCAGCAGCGACAGGTTTCTTATTATTCTTTGGATCTCTTGCTAGAATATTTACTTCTATTGAAGAAACAGGAGATATGACAATGATAATAATGTATATATGTTCCACTACTGCAAATGCTATAATAGCTGCTCAAATTTTATATTATTGGAATATGGATACAAATAGCAAGAGTATAACAAAGAAGGATCAATAAATAAATTAATAAAATTTGTTGTACTTTAAAAATAATGCACCGAAATGAAATGTATAAATGAATGAATATAAATCAAACAAATTTTCTTATATTCGTAATACAAGATTTATATTTTAAATATTATTGTTTATAAATTTATTTAAAATGATAAGTTATGATCTTAAATTTTTTTATAAATTATGGTGTCTTAAAAAATATTGAAATAAAAATAATATGGAAATCATATTTGTTATTATTTATTAAAAGAAATTAATTAATATCTTAAATTTAATTAATTTACGAAACATATAATAAAATATTCAATAAATATAATAAATTTAAACATGTAATAATATAATATTCAATTAAAAACAATCAAATTCTTTTGATAAACTTTAAATTTTACTAACAGAAAGTTATACGATTTTAAATTGAGCGCCAAACCGGAAATGGTGTATAATTGGCTCTGAAAAAAGAGAAAGGGAAAAGCGATTTACGCAGGCGTTACTGAGTCTGTCGTTTCCGGCTTTGTTGTAATCGTGACTTGTGCAGCGTATGGTGAAATATATCCGCGCAGTTGTTTAATCGTCGATAATGTTACGTAGTTGGCCGTGATATATTGGAAAACACATTAACAAATCGTCGGAAGATAATAAGGGAGCAACGGTGAGTAATAATCCGGGTTCTTTTTTGGCCAATCTGACATGCCCATGAAAAAAATGGGCGTGGATAAGTTTTGGAATAAAAGAGGGCCATTTGGAGCGTCATGGCGTCATCAGCCTTCGCAATCCGGCTTCCTGACGACCATCTTGTTATCGATAAATCAATATAACGCGCCTTTCCTACTATGTAAGCGTTTTCCTTGAGCAAACGAATATTCTACAGATTTATTCTGTTACGTCATTAATACAATTCGCCAGAGGAATATCAGCAACTACAGGTAAATTGTTCAGGGAACCGGTTCTTGGTAATTCGCTTTGTCTGAGCTCGTTCTTGCGCAGAATGCCATTCCCTTTTGGAGATACGATTTACGGTTGACGAAACCATACGTTTTTTACTGCTAGCATTCGACCAATCCTTAGATGATTGCAATACCAGAATTTTCTGGATATGACCGTGGAGAGCGGTTTATCAGTTACAAACACGTGTCCTTGGCTGTTGGATGATGTCTTTTTTGCATGCCAATTTCGGGCAGTCGGTCAGAGGCAGCTATTAAAAATTTTGTCCATATTGAATAATATCTTGGATATTGAAGAAAAAAAAGAAAACATTACGAATTCGCCGATTTTCATAGTATTGCAGGACTAGGTTGCTTGCAGTACTGAATCAAAATGGAATCAATGGATGCGCGCCTTGTGGCGCAAGCATTGAACTACCATGGTCAGCAGTTGCAGAAAGTGTGGGAAGGAGAACGCAACGAGAATGAGCTGGCCATGCTCAATCTCAAGGAACCAAATTTTGAGATCTATCAACAACGTCAAAAGACTTTGAGGTATGTATTTGATAATGATTTTAAGTAATATAATTAAATATTTTTAAATACGATAGATTTCAAATTTTTTATTTCTTTTTTAATAGTTTTGGTGATAGAGGAAAAAGGCTAAAGCTACAGCAGTTCTTAGCAAAGAAAGCAGATGCCCTTTATGATAAATCAAATTTGGAGAAAACAGTTGAACCTATTAAGCAAGAATTAGGAGATGAAGGTAAAATTTCCCTCTATATTATTATTAGAATATTCCTTTATATTATTATGCATTATGTAACGTGTAATTAATCTATTATATATATTGTTACAGAATTTTATGCAACAATGCCAGGCCTTGATACTTTTGTCACCATGGAAAAATCTCAACGTATTCGCAATTTTTTGGAGGTGCTTATTTATTATTTTTATATTTTATACTAAAATAAATAATAAATATGATTAGTAAATTATAAAAAAATATTTTTATTTAGAGTTTGGTCATTGGAGATGTTATATACGCGCAAGTGATGGGTAAAAGTGCTGCTGGGCTTCTTCTGAAGGTGCTTTGCAACTGCAGCGATTGCCCCAGAGTTGTTACTGATTTAGGAGTTAAGGTATATTAAAATTTTCATATTTATAACTTGTCTATATTTTTTTCAATTATTTATTAATATAATATTCGATATAATAGGCTCTAATATTGAACACGGCCACAGTGCCGGCAGTGGACAAGAAAGGTGTAACAAGAGGCTACATGGCAAATGATCTCATCTGCGTCGTAGTCAGTGAAGTTAACGTTGAAGCCGAGCGAGTTGTTGCAGTTATGAACGTACCTGCCC